AGAAGATTTTAATATTGATTTTAGTGAAAAGCCTAGAATAACAGGAGAAGAAGGGAAAATATATAAACAATGTAGCGTTTGTAATGGATTTAAGGAATTGACAGAGTTTAGACATAAGAAAAAGGCAGGTAGGATTAATAAAGTGTGTAGAAGGTGTTTGGATAGGTCTTGTGAATATCATAGGAGAAACTTAATGATGATACATAATAATAATAAAGCAGACGAAAATAATTAATATTATTTAAAGAGATAATATTAACTATTCTAGTGTCTCCACTCACCTATACCGTGCCAGCATTCGCTAATTTGTGTTTTTATGGGATATAATATTTCTACTCGTTCATCGTGTGTCATATTTTTGTTTTCAAAAATATCTTTCAATATCTCAATAACTGTATAATAATTGGATTGCATTACAAGAGCACCACCTCTATTATATATCTTCTCACCGTTGGTTTTTATTAATTTTTCATTCATTATATTTTCATATATTTCTTTCATCCATTCGTGGTTAGGTTGTCCATACTCATTAAAAAGATTAAGATAATGAATAGCATATACATTATCATCACGTTCTCGGTATTCATTAAAGTTTTTCGTTAGCATTTTAATTACATCATTATATTCAGGGTAAGGGTTCTTTTTGATGAATTTTTTAATAATTTTCTTCGCTTTATTAGAGTTCATATCACTATTATATTAAGGCGTTTTGTCTTTAAGTCCTTTTGTATTATTTTATAGAAAAATGCCCGAAGGGAAGACTTTTTACACTATCTATATAATAGCGCTTATTGTCATATGATGATAGACTTTGTTTTATTTGATTGATTGTGTAGATTTGGTGGTTCTTGCTTCTTATGCTGTTGAAAGATACTTTGTCAGATTGTGTTGTTTCTAACGTCTGTTCGTATTTCTTAAAGGTCAGTTCTTTCTTCACTTTGTGTTTTACTATGCCTTTTGATTTCTTTTCTTCCTTGTCTTCCTTATGAACTTTGAAAGCATATGATTTAGGTTTCAAGCCTATGAAGTGTGTCATAATCTTACCATCGCACTCATCTTTAAATTTACCAAGAACCTTTTTATTAGTCGGGTCATAACATTTATGATTTTTGTCATAACCGCTAAAATCCATATGTGTGGAGAGCTCTTTGAAATCATCATATATATCTTCCGTTTTTGTGTGTATAACGAAGCTGTCTGTGTCAGTGTATATCAGATTGATATTTTCTTTATATTTTTGTTTTAAAACATCATAATAAAACGAATACATATGTAATTTAGATAAGTCTAGAATTGACATTCCAACATAAATAGGTTTGTTTAGTTTCACTGTTTCCTTCAACTTTTCAACTCCTACAAGATTTTCGTTTATAATGTGTCTGTGTTTGTAAGTGGGATTATTAACGCACTTTTGAAATCTTTCGGGTGTATCAACCAGTTCAAAATTTATATGTTCTCTTACATTTTCCATCGTTTTTCCATACACCGCGTTGTTCATTAATTTATACATATCCTTTTCAAAGTCCGATGTAGCTTGCTTTCTCTTGTCTGTGTTGAAGTCAATCCACGGTTTTAGCCATTGCTTTTGTTTGAACTCTATAACTCTATTAACCTTTTTAAGTTTTAGTCCCTGTTTCAAATAGTATCTTAAAATGTTAATGTGAAGAACATAATTGGATTTGTCATTTACATTTAATATTAATTTCTTGGTCTTTTCATCTTTTGGGTCTACACCTACCACTTCACCGTTTTTATAGGTTTTTGTGTAAGTTTTTCTGTATATTTCTTTTTGTGCTTCCGAAAGCATATCAGCAGTAACATTCATAATTTCGGGTGCTAGTGGATAATCAGAATGATTATCGTGTAACTCTTTTGGATATTCTAAATCAACATCTAAAATATAGCCAGTGGAAAGGTCGGAATAATTTTTGATGTCGTCTTCGGTAAATTGTCGTTCTATCCATCTTATATCTTTATAAGGTAACTTTTGACACATCGCCAGACCGTAAAGATTGTTAGCGTCAAGGTAGTTTATGTAAGAAGAGGGTTTAGTTTCATCGTAAAGTTCTTCCATATACTTATTGTTTGCTTCTGCTTTTCTGTGCGAGACCTGACACATTCCTCCACGAAGCCCCTTCTCAACCATTTTATAAATTTCTTCATCATAGATTAAGTCCAGTTTTATTCCTGTTTTTAATAACATAGCATCCCAAGCGAAGTTAGGTAAAGTGAAGTAGTGAGCGGGGTCAAGCTGATAATCTTCAAGACATTTTGTTCTGAAATTTTCAAAGACATCGGTCAATAATAAAACATCTGTTTGAAGGTAAAGGTCGTGATATTCACCTAAATTTTGTATGTTAAAGTGCTTGTATATCTTCTGTGCCCTTTCATATTCTTCTTGTTTTATGTGCTCTTCCGTAAGCTTACTGTAAAATTCTTCTATTGGTGGTAATTCTTTTTCGTTGAACTTGTTGAAGTTATCAAAATAGTCATATGGATAAACGCCTTTGTCAGTTAATAAGTCAAGACATTCGTCTGATTTTATATATTTACTCGTTTTGCTGTATTTGAAGTTGTCCTGCCAGTTTGACCTTTTTTCATTATTCTCGTACGAGGCAGAGCCTCCTAGAACGCCTCCGGCGTTGTACTTCGTTGATTTTACTAGCTTGTCTAGTGACGAAGATAAGAAACTGAAACTATCTTTGAATTCTAGCTGTTTAACTTCAAAAGTTATGAACTTTTCACTGTTCTGCGCTATTACGTTTAACTGTTCTTTCTTTGTGTTGAGCTTTTCCAAGTTAGATATAATGAGATGCGCGTCGTAGTTTTTAAGGTTGTGAAAGAAAACGGGAATTTTAAAATATCTGAAACAATAATCAAGATTACATTTTACGTGTGCGGCACCTCTATATTTCCCTGTAAAGTGACAGTGGTCTCTAACCTTCATTTGGTTTTTGCTTTCACTGAATTTTTGATTACAAATGAAACATCTTGTAGCTTTTTTAAACTGTGCTTCTTCTTCATCTGTTAAATTCAATGGTTTAACATCTTTCATCTTATCAAAAACATCTTCTCTTATTTTATTCATTGTATCACAAAAATTATCCATACAGTCTTCTCCGCGGTATAGATAAGGTGTCATTTCGTTCGTTATTGAGTTTACAACGTTTAACATAAAGCCGGACGGTTGATGATGTTGATAAGTGCCTTTAATGCCTTCTTTTGAATGTGCTGTTAAACATTCAAAATCACCATATATTACATAAGGAGCTTTCAGCTTTTTGTAATGATTTTTGAACTGCATTTTTTCGTGTTCTTCCGGCATCTGTGTAGATTGGACTTCATTAGCTAGACAACCTTTTGTTATGTGATTTGTTAAAAGCGTTTCTTGTTGAAAGCCTTTTTGACAATACATACAATGAAATAACTTTGCTTTGTGTTTGTTGGTTTGTGAAAACATTAGCTTGTTGTAATCCTTGATTAAAACATAATGATTAAAAACGTCGTCGTGGTCTATTCGTAATAGATTTACGTGGCAAACTGGCTTTGAAATTGTTGTTATTCTGTCTGGTCTTATTGTTTTATTGTCTTCATCTATGGTATAAACATTTATTGATATTGTTCTTCCGTTTATTTCTTCAAAATGAGTAATGTCATCATTACAAACTGGATAATTCATATCATCCCATTTTAAGAAACTGTCACAGTCAATATACTTTTTATAATGATACATTCGTTGAGGGTGGTCTTTCTTGAATATTTCATAAAACTTACATAAGACACAGTATCTAAAACACATATCATCGTCGTTTTTAATGTTGATACAAGCTTTCTTTCTCATAATCCATTCGGGTAAATCAAAATATTTTCCTGCTCGTGTAGGGTCGTATTTGTCATAATGTATTGTTATTTTATGAATTTTTTTAATTCTTAATCCTGACCTTTCTATTTGTTTTTCTGCTACTGTTATTTCTATGTCTTTGCCCATATTGTTTAAAGCATTTATTAAGTCTTCTTCATTGAATATATTATATCGTCTAGATTTTATTGAGTGTATTATTTCGTCTTCTGTTTCTATGTCGTCAAAAGCAATTTCAACAAAAGCTATAACTTTCATTGACTTGTGTTTTTTAAGGTATTCGTTTAGTTTTTCTTTTTGGTGTATGAAATAAGATAAGCCTTTCATATGAGGAAGTTTTATATTAGAGATTGAATAGGTGTTGGCGTAAGATTTTAAAGCCGATTGTTCGTCGGTGATTGTGGCTTTTTGTTTAATGGCGTATTTCTTTAAAGCATTTCTAGCTATAATGCCTTTGGATGCTTTTTCAAGGATTTTAAATCGTCTGTATTGAGGAGTTTTGGAAACCTGTTCTAGTTTTGATTTTAATTTTTTCACGAGTGGCTTTTCTTTATTATATGGATATTCAACATCATTTATAATAACCTTTTTGTATTCCTTATTACCCTTACGTTTTATGTTTGCTTGTTTATCTGAAAATAAAAATTTTAACACAGAAATATACTCCCCTTGCTCCATTATAATATAAGGTGGCTTTTCTTTAAGTGATTTTGGGCTAGGGTTGGCGTTGGCTCCTAGGATTTCTCGGATTTTGGTTGTAACGTTTTACTCGGAATGACGTTTTAAAATCTTGAACAGAATTTTTATGTTGATTATTATTGTTTTGATTTTTTGTGTAATCATTTTGATATTGTTTGATAATGAAAATGTTCAGTTTTCAACAATTGAGCCACACAAAAAAAACTTGAACCAAATGTCTGCGGGGGAAACGGGAACCGAAACTAGGGAGGTTTTAGGGTTTTCAACTCTCGCGCGGTTGAGCCATTAGGGTAACAGAGCACACAACCACAAACAAACCACAACAACCCTGAACAAAACCTAAAAACCCTGAACAAAACCGAAAAACCCTGAACAAAACCGAAAAACCCTGAACAACCCTGAAAGCGTAAGCACACTTAGGTCATCGCAATGCTTTTGACTGTTAAACAGTCGGATTTCCCGAAGTGTCCGCTCCAAGTTCTGAGACGACTTTAAAAGCCAATCCTTTTCCCGAAGTTTCCTAAACAACCCTATCCTAAACAACCCTATCCTAAAACCGAGCGGGCTCGTGGCGTCTGATAGACGATGATGTCGTTGTCTTCACAACCTCGGCGGTGGGCTCAAAATGAATAATTATCTTATACTGTCAATGATTGTTGTCAAAAGCATTCGGTGGCATTTCCTTTTCAAGCGGTTTCTCAGGTGTGAGTGCGGTTTTGACTACCACCAATGCCACAGCATCTTTACAGAAATGGCACTGAGCAAGTCAAGCGATGATGCCTAGCAAGGTCTCACTCATCATATCATAGCATCTGAAAGATGCCCTTCACGAAGCGGTCTCTGGCGCTCCTGATTTGGACGATTTCCCCGAGTTTTGTGTGTCATTTCCCCGAGGGCTCGGCTATGATTAAACATAAGTGTCAGAATTTCCCGGGGTTTATTTCCCCAAGCACGGGGTTAGGGGATTTATTATATAATTAGTAGCAAAAGTCCTATTTCCCAACACGCGGGGTCTGGGGAAATTTTGATGGGGAAGCCGACTTCAAGTTTCCCCGAAGGTGTTTTCAAAAACAGTCCTGTGGTGGTCGCTCCCTCCAACTGCTTACGCTCAATGGTCTTCTCCAAGGTCATGCGGAAGCCCTCCCAAGACATACGGGAAGTCTCGGTCAGGTAGCCTTTGTAGATAGCATATGTTGTCAGTGCTCTCGCTGTCTCATTGAAGAGGTCGGTGAGGGCGATGGTCTGGTCAATCCTCTCAAAGAACTCGCTGTAGCATACCTTGCTGATAAAGTCGATGCGGGACGCCTCGTTGTTGGTAGCAAAGATGAATGCTTGAATCTTCTTACACTTCTCCACGGGGAGGTTGGCGATGACGTTGTCGATGCCGTTGGCGCTGATGAGCAACTCGGTCACCTGCTGGATGAACTGCTTGTTGAGGCTGAGGTCGGGGATGCCGAGGTTGAGCACGTGGGCGGTTGCCATCTGCAACTGCAACTGCTTTGCGTTAATCTTCTCATCCTTGCTTGTGGTTGTTGTAGAGCGAGCCCGCTTGCCACCGCCAACAATGGGAGCTCGTGTCTGAATGACAGCTCCATCTTTGATGCCCCATCCTGCGAGGGTGCGTCGGGCGTGCTCTTTCATACTCATCTCACCAGCCACGAGGTAGTCCAACTCTTTAAGGAACTTGGCTTTGAACTTCGGGAAGTTGGTCTTCAAAGCGTCGCGGATGTCCTTGAAGGTAGCGGTGGTAGGAAGGGAAATCGTGTAGGTCTCGCCTGCGATATTGATGTTGAGTGTCAGCATCACTGTTTTCTTCTTTTCCTCCTTCTTCGCCTCCTTCTCCTGCTCTTCGCGCTTCTTCTTTTCTTCCTTTTTCTTGGTGTTAATCGCCTTGATCAGCTTTTTGTTGAGAGCCACCTTGCATTTCCAAAAGAACGTTGCCTTTTGAAGCGCCTGCTGGTGCAACTTGTTAAGCTCATCGATGTCTGTTGTTTTGTTCATCATCTCCTGAAACTCGGCGTCGATGAACTCCTCAACGATAATCGGGGGGTCGGCAGACGATGAAGCAACTTCGGTAGTGGAGCCGGAACCATCGCCTGACGGGTCGGGGTCTTTGTCGCTGTCTTGCTTCTCCTGACCATCGGTGCTCTTGTTGTCGTCCTCCTCGTCGGTTTCCTCGTCCGAAGAAGCTTCGTCCTCCGAAGCACTGGAAGCCTCCGAAGCAACCTCTGGCAACACAGCTGGCGGGTAGCCAGCAGAAGCGGTGGCGACTTCCTCGCCCTCTTCAACAACTGGCACTGACTGTTTGGGAGCCATTGCTTCAACAAAGCAAAGGACAAAGTGAGCTGAAAACTTTGAGATTGTACAGGATGCTTCGGGATGAATACGTTCAATCAACTGCTCAGTCGTGACAAACGTTGAACCTGCATCAATTGAGCTTCGGCACTCCGAGCGTCCGACTGATTTATTGAAGAAGTCACCGTCGTCGTTGTAGATGTAGATGTAGATGCCGAAACAGCAAGACAACTGCCCTATGATGGTTAAGGACTTTAAGTAATAGAAGCTTTGGTAAGAATATTGTTAGGGAGCTTAGGAAAAGTAGGATGAAAAATATGAGAAATGAATGAAGGGCGATGGTAAGAGAATTGGAATGAATGTTGGGGAGTGAGAGTGAAAAATGAATGAGGGTGGAATTAACGATGAAAAAGTGCTGAAATAGGAGGGTAAAAAGGCAATATTGGTCAATAACCCCTAGAAGCCCCCTCCGGAAAGTGAATAAGGTGATTATGATGATGAAAACGAAGAAGGCGTGTTAGAAAGTGAAATAACAGCGGAGGGGGGCAATGTATGATGTATAAGTCCTTAAAAACCCCCTTTCTACAATTTTTTCCCCCCCCCCGCCCCCCCTCCTGGAATCAATTGTGGGACCTGCCCTTGCAGGTGGTCTCGAAGTCTGAAGCGCTTGTCAGGGTGGGAGTCTTGAAGGCAGCCCTTAAACCTAAAAGGCAATGGTTTTGGTGGCGGCCCGCGGTCAAAGCTCACCGCAGGGGAGAAGCAGATACCTGGCACCAATGAAAACTGTTTGTTTGCATTGGGAATATGTGCCTTCGCCTGACATGCCGCCGCCCCCCCCCACCCCAAAAACAAAAAAAAAACTAATAATTATAACCTGGATGTGTCGGGGCGCCAGTTCCACATGGCACTTACTGCCGCTGCGCGGCGAGACGCCCTAAACCCTAAACCCTAAACCCTAAACCCTATAAAAACTCGTCCCAGGCCTTGCACCTGGGAAGGCGAGGCTCCGACCAAAAAACGAGGAGATGACAGGCACGTAGTTCATCCAAAACCTGGGGGGGTTCAGGGTTTAGGGTTTAGGGTGGGGTGTAGGGTGTAGGGTGTAGGGTGCAGGGTGCAGGGTTTAGGGTTTAGGGTTTAGGGTTTAGGGTTTAGGGTTTAGGGTTTAGGGTTTAGGGTTTAGGGTTTAGGGTTTAGGGTTTAGAGTTTTTGGTTTCGGGGGGGGCGGGGGGGGGAATTGCACGGGGCGCTTGGGTGTTTGTGTGCTTGCAGTCGGGTTTGGGGTTTAGGGTTTAGGATTTAGGGTTTCGAGTGGTTTAGGGTTTAGGGTTGGGCCCTAAGCCGCAGGCTGCGCAGGCTGCCTTATTCGGGCTGCGCGTATGCCTGGGCGTCGCCCGCCCCTTTCGCACGGCGTCCAAGCCCCCAATGAGGCGAAGAATGCGAGTCGGAGTTTCTCTGGGTTGAGGTATGCACACAGAAAGTAGAACCCCCAAATGGTACCCTAAACCCTAAACCCTAAACCCTAAACCCTAAACCCAGCTATTGGGTCATCCTTAGGAACCCTTAAAGGAATCTACTTTTTGGATTCCGCGTGGTCTGGGAAAATGAGGATATGGAATAAGGGCCTGCTCTGGGACACCCCCACCCCAGACCCCCCCCCCCCCCCCCCCCCCCCCCCCAAAAAAAAACGACCCACACCCCAAACCCAGACCCCAGACCCCACCCCAGACCCACACGAATCTGTCTGAGCCGCACTACTTGACAGACAGTCACAACTTAGTAACTTCAAGAACGTCGGCAGAATCACGAAACCAACCCCTCCACTTTTCCTGAAAGCGACCACGTGCGAAGCCTCCCAGCCAAGGCTTCTGCAGTCAACCTGGTGACGGCCAAAACTAAACCCAGAACCCTAAACCCTAAACGCAAAAAGCCTACTTTTCGTGCCCTTGCGTAGCAAGACCTTAGGGGATGGCGCGGCAGAGAAAGAGAGAGAGAGAGAGAGAGAGAGAGAGAGAGAAACCGTAAAACCCGCCTGTTGTGCCTGCCATTGTCAGGAGCCCAGCTCAAGCCAAACGTAGCGAGAACTTCTGCATCTACTTCGCACAATATGGGGGGGGTGGGGGGGGGGGGTTCTCCGAAAACATGGGTACCCTCTTTGGGGGTCCCTTCAAGGGGATGCTACTTTCTTTAGGCCATAAAAGGGGTACCCCTAGTTTGGAAATACCCTATGTACCCAAACCCTAAACCCTAAACCCTTTTGCAACTGGACTCCTTGCTGCCAGGATGCCGAACCTCTGAGAAGAGCCGTAGAGCGCAGGAAAAGCAAGCAGGCACGAAAGACATTTTGCGCAGGTTTTCACATCAATCTTGATATTAATCACTCTAGCCCTAAACTCTAAACCCTAAACCCTAAACCCTAAATCCCAAACCCCAAACCCTAAACCCTAAACCGCAACTTAAAAGACCCAAACACGCCGGGAGGCGACTGCCACCCTGGAGCCGTGGGCGCCACGTCACTGCAGGCCATGCTCGCCTCCGCCTTTATCCCGGAGGATGTCGAGTCTACGCTTGTTAGGGTCTGTGGTTTAGGGTTTAGGGTTTAGGGTATAGGGTTTAGGGTTTAGGGTTTAGGGTTTAGGGTTTAGGGTTTAGGGTTTAGGGCTTAGGGTTTAGGGTTTAGGGTTTGGGGTTTAGGGCTCAGGGTTTGGGGTTTAGGGTTTAGGGCTTAGTTTAGGTCGTTGCCTGGTTTCGACTATCATCGATGAAGTATACGTAGTTTTAAGGTACCAACAACCATGGACAGCTTGCATCGTTGTCATGGCGCCAGGTGCTACCAATGAGATGTGTTTTTTTTAGGTTTAGGGTTTAGGGTTGAGGGTTTAGGGGTTTAGGGTTTAGGATTTGGAGTTTGGGGTTTAGGTTTTAGGGTTTAGGGGTTTAGGGTTTAGGGTTTCGGGTTTAGGGTTTGGGGTTGTGTTTAACGCTGCCTTTGGCACCGCTTGAGGTTCATGTTTCAGCAGCCAAAGACTTGAGACATGACGCATGAGGCTCTTGGTGGGCAAAAATCCTAGATGATGGGGTTCTTAAGGGAATGAGGGAACTAGGGCCTTCGCATGCCCTTTAAGGGAGTATATAGGGTACCTCAGTCCCTCATTCCCTACTGAAACCAGCCAGTTGTTCGATGATGGGGTTCTTAAGGGAAGGGGGTTCAGGGGGTTCAGGGGGTAACCCAAGGTTCCCAAATACTCCCTAAGCTTCCCTAAGCTTCCCTAAGGTTTTCTGTGTACCTGCCCCCTCCCTTAAGAACCCTATAACTAGACCCACCTAAACCCTAACCCTAAACCCTAAACACTAAAACCTAAACCCTAAACCCTAAACCCTAAACCCTAATCCCTAAACCCTAAACCCTCAACCTCTCTACCATATATACCTAAATTTTAAACACGAATTTGGCGTTTCGACCCCCATTGTTCAGCACGAATTTGGCGTTTTAACCCGTCTGACCTGTTTGGCCCCCCCATTGTTCAGCACGAATTTGGCGTTTTTGACCCGTCTGACCCATTTGGCCACCCATTGTTCAGCACGAATTTGGCGTTTTGACCCGTCTGACCCGTTTGCCCCCCCCATTGTTCAGCACGAATTTGGCGTTTTGACCCGTCTGACCCATTTGGCCCCCCATTGTTCAGCACGAGTTTGGCGTTTTGACCCGTCTGACCCGTTTGGCCCCCCCATGGTTCCACCCGTTTGGCCCCCCCATTGTTCAGCACGAATTTGGCGTTTTGACCCGTCTGACCCGTTTGGACACCCCATTGTTCAGCATTTGGCCCCCCATTGTTCAGCACGAATTTGGCGTTTTCACCCGTCTGACCCACTTGGCCCCCCATTGTTCAGCACGAATTTGGCGTTTTCACCCGTCTGACCCGTTTGGCCCCCCCATTGTTCAGCACGAATTTGGCGTTTTGACCCGTCTGACCCATTTGGCCCCCCATTGTTCAGCACGAATTTGGCGTTTTGACCCGTCTGACCCGTGTGATTGTTTGGCCTCTTGGTGCGTCTGAACAGAAATCGAGAAAAACTTTATATTTTCTGAATGTTATGGGATTCTTTGGGCGGGTGGGTTTTTTCCGTTGCCTACACACACTGCTGGCCTAGTAAATGCTCGCACTTGAGATGCTGAACCCTAAACCCTAAACCCTAAACCCTAACCCCTAAACCCTAAACGCTAAACCCTAAACCCTAAACCCTAAAACAAGGCGGGGGGCCTCAAGGAGGCAGCTACTTGAGCAACCTTGACGAGGCACCTCTGGCAGCGTTTGCGCTGTAGGAGCGTTTAGGGTTTAGGGCCTTGTAGGGCTTTTAGGGCTTTTAGGGCTTGTAGGGCTTTTACGGCTTTTAGGGCTTGTAGGGTTTTTAGGCTTTTTAGGGTTTTTAGGGTTTAGGCCCTCAATTTAGGGATAGAATCGCAGTCATGGTAGTAATAATACTGATAATAACAATGAAAGAGATAAGAATAATCGTAATAGTAGTAATAATAATTATTATTATAACATTAGCAATAATAAAGTTAATAAGAATAGTATTAATAGTAATAATAGCAATCATAGAAAAAATAATAATAGTAGTAGTTCTCATAATAGTAATAATAGTAATAATAGTAATAATAGTAATAATAGTAATAATAGTAATAATAGTAATAATAGTAATAATAGTAATAATAGTAATAATAGTAATAATAGTAATAATAGTAATAATAGTAATAATAGTAATAATAGTAATAATAATAATAACAATAATAATAATAGTTATAATAGAAATAATAGAAATAATCGAAATAATAGAAATAATAGTAATAGTTATAATAATAATAATAGTAATAATAATCATCATCATAACAATAATCGTAATAGTTATAATAATAATAATAATAGTAATCGTAATAATCATACTAGTAATAACAATAGTAATAGTGTCGTTTAAACTGTATAGGGGATCCTTAGTATGATTTGAGGCATATTCCTTTAAGGAAGAAACCTCCAAACTCTATAGGGATCCTTAATATGATTTAAGGCATGTTCCTCTAAGGAATATACCTTAGCCCATATAGGGGATCCTTAGTATGATTTAAGGTCTATTCCTCATTGAAGGCATATTGGGCTCTATTGGGCTCCTTGGGCATCATAAGCCCCCAGAAGGGAACCTAACTTAGCGAACTCCTCTTAGATAGAGGGCCTAAGGCTGAAGATCCCACAGTCCCGTGGGCCAAACCCAGCATACCACGCAAATTCGCCGGTTTAGGGCTCGCAGGTTTGTGATTCGGCCTCGTTCTGACCTTCCTAGCAGTCTTACACCGCACCGCCGGCATGTGTGCTATCGAAGGATTAAGCAGACGCTATGACATGCAAACCCTAAATAAACCTTTTTACAGCAAGCCCCGGCAAGCGGCAGCCTGGTCCCAGAACCCTATACCCTAAACCCGAAACCCTAAACCCTATACCCTCAACCCGAAACCCTAAACCCTAAACCCTACACCGCGTCGTATGATCCAGCGCGACCCTCCTCTGCGTCTCGTGGGAAGAGTGGGAAGGAGGCCTTTGGCGGCCAGTGTGTTTCCTGGAAGTGCGTCCACGACCAGAGGGATTTAGGGTTTAGGGTTTAGGGTTTAGGGTTTAGGGTTTAGGGTTTAGGGTTTAGGGTTTAGGGTTTAGGGTGGCGAGCTCCAGCTCGGGGTTCATCAGCCCTAAGCCCTCAAACCCTCAAACCCTCAAAGCCTCAAAGCCTCAAAGCCTGGGGAAGCCTTCGGCAGGGATGCCTTAGGGTTTAGGGTTTAGGGTTTAGGGTTTAGGGTTTAGGGTTTAGGGTTTCGGGTTTAGGGTTAGGGTTTAGGGTTTAGGGTGTCAAAACCCTCAAACCCTCGAAGCCGAGACCCAACCCCAGCCTTGTACCAGCTCGACGCACCGGGGGAGGCACAGCCCTGGGTTAGAAGCATCGGGGTGCAGTTTAGGGTTCATAGGGTTTAGGGTTTAGGGTTTAGGGTTTAGGGTTTAGGGTTTAGGGTTTAGGGTTTAGGGTTTAGGGTTTAGGGTTTAGGGTTTAGGGTTTAGGGTTTAGGATTCAGGGTTTAGGGTTTCGGGTTTAGGGTTTAGTCTTCCCCCTGGTTCTTAGTAGGGGATGAGGGACTTAGGGCCCTATGCCCTTTAAGGGATTATGTAGGGTTTAGGGCCTTATGCCCTTTGAGGGATTATGTAGGGTACCTCCTTCCCTCATTCTCAACTGAAAAACCAGCCAGTCGTTCGCAATGGGTATTTTGGCTTCTTAAGGGGGTTTCTAGGGGGTATGTAACCCAAGGTTCCCTCATGGCCCCCACTACCACTACTTCCCAGGGCCCCCTAAGCCGTAAGCTTCCCTCAAGGTTCCCTGGGCACCTACCCGCCACGAACCCGGGTTTAGGGTTTAGGGTTTAGGGTTTAGGGTTGAGGGTCCAGAGTGGGACTTGGGATTCACGCTTTTTCCCCCATAATTGGGGGCCATGATCGTGGGAAACCCCATTAACTGCTAAAGCCCTCCAACCTGAACCCTGAAACGTCTCACCGAGCTGCACAGGTCCCACCGCACACATAGCGCAGCATTCGGGCGTCCGGATGGTCACAGAGGTCGCGCATCTCCTCGCCTGGGGATTCTTTGGAAGGCTTAGCCTAGGGAGGTCAAGCGGGTTTAGGGTTTAGGGTTTCGGGTTTAGGGTTTGGGGTTTAGGGTTTAGGGTTTAGGGTTTAGGGTTTAGGGTTTAGGGTTTGGGCTTTTTGTGCCACCCGCCTAGCAGACCCCCACTGGGATCACTCTGCGGGTTTAGGGGTTTAGGGTTTAGGGTTCAGGGCCTTCAGGGTTTAGGGTTTCAGGGTTCAAGGTTCAGGGTTCAGGGTTCAGGGTTCAGGGTTCAGGGTTCAGGGTTCAGGGTTCAGGGTTTAGGGTTTAGGGTTTAGGGTTTAGGGTTTAGGGTTTAGGGTTTAGGGTTTAGGGGAATGTAGGGCCCGGCTTCACTATTGGGGCTGGTTTGGGGGCCTTTTACGGCTTTGAGCCTGTCGAAGCCCTGCCCCATAAGCAACAGCCACCCAAGATGCCCTGAACGCAGAAACCTGTGCAAAAACGCCAGGTGAACCCTCAAACCCCTAGAGTTTCAACCTCAAGCCGAGTGTGAGGGCAATACACCCCTAGTCAAACCCGACACATTTTTCAAGCCGGGCAAACCCTTAAACCTGAACCCCTAAGCCCTAAACCCGAACCCTAAACCCTAAACCCTAAACCCTAAACCCTAAACCCTAAACCCTCCACTGAGCTGCAGGCAACTGGTGGCATTCCGGCCCCAGAGGGCGACGGCAGACTGAAAGCGCGGCTCCTTCGGTCCGTGCAGGGTGGACGAGAATGGGTTTAGGGTTTAGGGTTTAGGGTTTAGGGTTTCGGGTTTCGGGTTTGGGGTTTAGGGTTTGTTTGGGATCTCGGGTCCATAGCAGATGGAAGTTGGCGAAAGTTAGGACTTTAAGGAAGGCCGCAAACTGTGTTTTTGTACATGTCGTTTGTGTCTAGGGTGTGTTGTAGGTAGCTTGCAGGTGCGAAAAGCCCTGCAGCCTGTCACTTGCGTTGCCTAGTGCTCCCACTGCAGCCACCCAAGCTACTCTTAAAGTTCTAGCCCCCCAGCTCCCCTAACAAGGAGCATTTGTTCTCGCCGGCTCGCGTTTTCGATTCAAGCAATTCCAAAGTCAGGTTGGGAATATGACATGCGAACGGCAAGCCTTTACAGAGCAGGCCGGGTCAGGCGCGTAAACCCGGCATTCGGACCCATGACTTGAAAATCCTTCGCTTGAACAACGGGCTTTGGGCGGCGAATCCCAGAAGCGGCAAATCCCAGAACTCCTAAATCCCAAGCACTAGACAACGACCCCCCAAACTCACAAGTCCAAAGCCCCAAACCCTTTCTTTTTTGAACCCAGGCTCAATCCTGTCCAGCTAAACCCTAAACGCTCTCTCTCTCTCTCTCTCACCCTAAACCCTAAACCCTGAACCCTAAAACCCCCCACATGAATTTGGCAAAGGCTCGATCAGGGACATGGCCACGGGATCCCGGAAGACCCGGCCTACGCCGCGTTGTCGTGCTTAATTCTCAGGCAAGGCTTCCGGCTTCTAGGGTTTGGGATTTAGGGTGTAGGGTTAATTGGAGTGGGGTACCTGTTTCAGGTTCCCGAATTCCATATTTGAAGTCGGTCGGTTTTGACCCGGGCCCAAAACCTCAAAACCTGCCCAGGCAAAACACAGCCCGAAAAACGTCCGCCGCCTGTCTCTTGCAAGACCTGGGTCTCGAAGCAGATGGGGAAGACTTCCGCCTGTGCCGGCGTGTCTCGTCTAAACCCTAGACCCTAAGGTTTGCCCTGAAAACAACTCCGAAGATGGCTTTTACATTCCCTTCAAGGAGGATCAAAGGGTCCCCAAACCCCCAAGGATGCAACCTTAGGGTTTAGGGTTTAGGGTTTAGGGTTGAGGGTTTAGGGTTTAGGGTTTAGAGTTTAGGGTTTAGGGGTCCAAAGGTCGTACAGGCAGAGCCCCATGATGGAACAAACCTCCCGGCCGCAGCCTTGATCCTGCGCCTGTTTCCATCAAACTCAGCTGTCAGTTCCCTAAACCCTAAAGCCTAAACCCTAAACCCTAAACCCTAAGCCCTAAACCCTAAACCCTAAACCCTAAACCCTAAACCCTAAACCCTAAACATGAACTCTGAACCCAAAACGAACTTGCGATTCAGGGCCTAGCCGGCTTGTCTGCGAACCCAAAACCTCAAACCCCAAAACACTAAACTCTACACTCCTCGCCACATCTCATAAAGAAACTCAGTAAACTCAGGGTTTAGGGTTTAGGGTTTAGGGTTTAGGGTTTAGGGTTTGGGGTTTGGGGTTTGGGGTTTAGGGTTCAGGGTTTAGGGTTTAGGGTTTAGGGTTTAGGCTATGGAGCGAAGGTTTCAGACAAGAGCCCGCAAAACGAAAGAGATGTCGAGGGTTGAGGGCTGAGGGTTTAGGATGCTCCCCCCTTGTACTAACAGTCCTGAATAGGGATCAGAGTACCCCCCCATCATAATCCCTCTTGAGGACTGTTAGTGTTTAGGGTTTAGGGTTTAGGGTTTAGGGTTTAGGGTTTAGGGTTTAGGGTTTAGGGTTTAGGGTTTAGGGTTTAGGGTTTAGGGTTTAGGGTTTAGGGTTTAGGGTTTAGGGTTTAGGCTTAGTATACCCGGGAACATCCCAACTTTAGGGTTTCGGGCAGCTGCCTCCTCGCTCATGGGCCTGACCCGATCCGCGTCAAAGGCCTCTCGGCTGTGGGAAGGCGGTCGTGAGTTCGGTTTAGGGTTTAGGGTTTAGGGTTTAGGGTTTAGGGTTTAGGGTTTAGGGTTTAGGGTTTAGGGTTTAGGGTTTAGGGTTTTTTTTTGCCACACCGCCTAGCTGACACTTGGTTTAGGGTTTAGGGTTTAGGGTTTAGGGCTTTCGCAAGTCCATGAGGGCATTTCCCTCTTTGTACATCCTCAAAATACTAGCAGCCCCCCAAAAAAGCTCCCAAACCCCCTGAAAGAGATTGGGAACCTCAGGAACCTCACGCCCACTTTGCCCTTCAACCCTACTCCCGCAAACCGCCCTCAACCTGAAACCCTAAACCCTAAACCCTCAACCCTATCCCTGAACCCTAAACCCTACACTACACCCTAAACCCTCAACCCTGAACCCTTCTTTGGCCTGCGAAGTCGGCGAGAAGACCATGTATCTTGGCAAGGCCTCGTCAGCGCAAGGACTCGTCTCACGTTCAGAGGGGCTAGGGTTTAGGGTTTAGGGTAGGGTTTAGGGTTTAGGGTTTGGGGTTTAGGGTTCAGGGTTCAGGGTTTAGGGTCTAGGGTTTAGGGGTTAGGGTTTAGGCTTTAGGGTTTAGGGCTTAGGGCGTAGGGTTTAGGGTAGTACGGGGGCCTTCCTGATGAAAAAGAAGAAAGTTTGAGGGCAGCAATATTATGACTGTGTAGACTTCAGGCTTTACGTTTGGAATCCTACACTAGTGACTATACAAGCACCGGGGGGTTTGAAAGG